TGATGGTAGGATGTGAATTGCAGTTCTGTCAGAACAATGGAGTGTTTAATTTGCATCATGTTCTTTACAATACATTTTTTTTAAAAGATGGAGCTTAACCTTCTTGCTTTTGCTTTGCTGCAATTCAAAGGCAGCTCGTCTGAGCCTTGGGGCTCCCACGCCCGTAGCAAACGGATTCCATTCAGACCCGGACTGGTGATCCAGCCCCTCCGTTTCAGTTCAGGTAAAATGGGATAATACCAGTCTGTGTCGTGGTTGACCGTCTGAGGTGTTCTAGCAATAGGGAAATAATTTGATGTGGTATAGTTTGTTCAATCGGCTTTTCAGCGTGGTTTTTTCTGACACAACGCTTTTGAGACGGGTGAAATGTTTTGCCTGTGCAGGCAGCTTTGCCGATGGTTCTCCACTCAGTATTGACATCTGCCACCTTTCAGTTTTTATTCCCGTGGCAGAGTGTAAAACACGCCGCAGTCTGTGTCGGCTCTACGTGCGTTCAGTGGTGGTAGCAAATGGAAGTGTTCGCAGATTTCACCCGTATCGCGTTTGCATCTCTTGAGCTTCAGCAGTGAGTGAAAACGTTAACGCAAGTCGCCTTCCTGCGTCCTGATCCAGGTTGTTCGCTTGCAGCCTCTGGTATCTGTCCAGTCAGAACCGATTCTCTAGGTAGTGAATTTGTGGTTATTTAAACTGAGAAACAGAAGTTGTTGAAGTCATCTTTGTTTTGTCCTGAAGACTTTGCGGGGCGGGGGGGGAGTGTCACGGTCACTGACCTGATCGAAGGAGGTGCCGGCTCTGCCCCGGGGAGAGCCCAGGAGGCCAGGTCGCTGTGGGACTGTTACCTGCGGATCACCAGTAGCTTTATTTGCTAAGAAGATTTTAGAAATGCCGAGCGGATGCACATGACATTAGGTTGAATTTAGTCTGAGTTCAGTAGGCAGACACGTTGCGCGGTCAGCGATGGCTGCCGGTGCGGAGCAGCGCTGGGCCAGGGCAGCTCCTTCGCGTGAGGCGGCGCCTGAGACACGCAGCATGCGGGTGCCCTTGGGTGGCTGGGGAGGGGGAAGAGAGCCCGAACTTTCTGTTCCGACTGCTTTCTTCTTATCAATTTGTAAGATGAGGATAGCAATTTTGTAATTCAAAGCTTTGGCTTCTCTCTGGTCATTACTGGAGATCCTTTAATTGAAAAGTTAAGTAAATTCAAGTAACTCCTTGTAAAGATGAACTCAAATCTTGCTGTGCATATGCAAGTCATTCTTAAATGTTAGGAAGATCATGTGATACAAGCAATCAAATGCTTAATAAACCAAGTCATTACTTTTATGGTAAATTGAAAAAAGTTCTTCTGGGATTTCAACTGTAAATGAATCCTTGAAAATCAATAATTAGATTAGTAAAGGATGACATTTTAATATGCTGGCAGGAATATAGAGGGATTTGTCAGGGGAAGCAAAAACAGACTTTGCACTAAAGTGGCTTAGGTATATTTATAGTGCTAGTGATTTTGTGTGTGTGTGTGTGAAATCTTTGGACTATTTTAATATAATGTAAGGCTTTGAGCTTTAGCTAACTCAAGTTGCTCGTTTTATGAAGTTACATTAGTACCACACTGTGAAGTATTTTTAAATATTAGCATTGCTGCGTATTAAAAGTATTTCATAAAAACATTTTTTAAAACACTTTCTGTAGATGCTGTCAAAGGAATTGATGTTTAGTGTAAAAAGAAATAAAACCCTGAGGGCTGTAAGGTACCTGTATGTTTCTGATCACCTCGGTTTTTGAGGGGTTAGGTATTGAGGTTATATATCTTGAGGTTAAATTGCTGTCATTAAAACCTACCAAAAATAATGGTGCAGTTAATCCTTTCAGATAACAGGAAGCAGCATTACCTCCAGCCACGCTTTTGAACTGTCTGAAGGGATTTGCAATCGCATATATTGTCTTCACAGACTGGTCTTTGGAAATGCTGTACAGCACAGTGTTTTGCAAGTTCCTATGCTGATCAATTTCTCTCCGTATGTAACCTTTGAAATCTAGTTTCTGTTGTAATTCTAGCATGTAAACACTAGATTCAATTTTGTATTCCTCTAATGAATGCAACAGGATGGAAACGAGTTTGCAGTTGCTAATGATGAGCTTTTTTACTGTTCTTAATACTCGTGGGTATGTCTTTTCTTCAGGGATTTCAAAATTGTATTAGTACCTTTTTTAATTGTTTTTTTTCCACATGCTGTTTACAATTAAGATGCAAGCATGGGAGGCTCTGCGTGCATGCGCATTTGGGTTGCTTTGCTGAACGAAATACAGTGGAGCAATCTTACTTTAAAGGATGCTCGCTTTTCCTCGTGTCCTACCTGTCTCCTCGCGCCTTCACAGTCACTGGGACAGAGAAGCCGCTGGTGAGATTGTTTCAGTGTGTTCTGTGGAGATTTGGCATTTGTCAGAGGGTCGTTAGGAGGAGTTTTGTGTGGGAGACAGTCCAGCTCCTTACACAAGTAGTGTTACAACTGGTAGTTTTTTCCTGAGTGTCAGTGAAAAGGCGGAGAATAGACAAAATCACAGGTAAGAATGCGTATGTGTGTGTTTGTAAGAACTTTGTGCACCTTTTAATGCTGGAAATTGTTTTGTATTAAAAAAGGTGAAAGAGATGTGAGTGTGAAACCCCTGCTATGAAGAACTACAGAAAAAAATCCACCAAAGCAGATTAGAAAAGCAAACGGGCTAATTGGAGCCAGTCCGACCCTTAAGACTCTGTAATGCTATATTTAATTCTGACACAGTGGGGGAGTAGCAGGGTGTCTGTCTGGGCTCCTCGATTTTCCTCACCTCTGCCTGGGTTTGCTCGGTTTTGTACCCTGTGAGGGAAGGGGGAGGTGGTAAAGATGGATGTGCTGATACGCAAGGCAGCTGAGGAAGAGTTTCTGTTGTGGCTCCGGAATTACGTGTTTTGTGCCAACTCAGAATTGTTGTTAAAATACAGGGGAAGAGGGGTACTTCTACCCATCATTTTAATAGACATTTCTGTAGCTGATTTTTCAACTAAGACTAATAAGAAAAAATACAGTTGAGCCAAAAATGACAAAAGCTACTGATTTAAAATAATACTTGCATATTTTTAGATATTACATGGAAGTAGATAGATCGGAAGCATGTAAATATCTGATTCTAGACCTTTGCATAATTATTTCCAAGAGGTAATTTTGCTATGAGCTATTAAAACTCAAAGAAATGTATTATTCCCTTTGAGATGATCTGTACCCCAGCTGTGTCATACATCTCTTGGCTTGTTTCCTTTTTGCTGTAGATGTACATACATATATATATGTGTACTGTGTGACCGTGCAATTGCTGCCGGGTTAAAGTGATTGTTTTAAAATACATATATATATATGTATATATGTATTTTACATATATATGTGAGTATGTATGTGTTTTAAAACTAGGAATGTAACACGGCAGTAATTGTATGGTCGCACAGTTTAGGGCTTTGTACAATATGTAATTTTAAGAATGTCAGTGTGGTTCTTAGCGAATTTTATAAACACTTTTTTCTGAATCTGTTATCAGCACTTCCCATCCTAAGAGAAACTGCACATTTTTTAGTGATTGTTCCACTGGTTACATTTTTGTCTGCCATTTGTTCTGGATTGATGTAATCTTGATACTACTAAAATTTCAAGGGCTGTTGACGCATTTCACATAGCCTAGGATTGCCTGTTCTCCAAATATATGGATCATGCATCAACAGTACTAAGTAGCCTTACTGTTTTGCCTAAAAGCCTAGCTAATTTATTTAATATTCTCTCTTTAAAGAGAGGTCTCTGGAAGGGGTAGCATATTTTAGGATACTCCTTCTCTTTAAAGGGAAACTCAGAATTGAATAGCAGTACTTGTTGATCAGTGATATTATTGTAGCCAAAGGATGCATGGGTGGTTTAATAGGAAGTTTTTGCTTCGAGTTCCTTGATGAAATGTAGTGTTCTACAGAGCTGTGTGAAGAGTGTAGTTTTTTATTCTGAAATGCACTTGTACACTTTATTTGAAAGGTCTGAATGGATCATAAATACATTTAAGAAATAAATGATACGTCACATGTTTTCACGTCTTGTCTCGGGTGACTTTTATCTAACTGTGCTGATAAAGGTGTGTTCCTCTGGGAGTGGGTGGGGGTTTTTCCTCTTATCTTGATTGCTCTAGATAGTCTGGTTTGTACGTATTGCTGAGAGCAGGAAAACCTTCCAGCGTGCGTTTTGTGTTTGTGCTTTATCCATACATGATGTAGGGCGCTGTAGGCAAACTCCTCTCTATAATTTTCCTGTGGGAAACTTGAGCCCTAAAAGGAAACGAACACAGCAAAAGGGCTGGATATCACAAGGGATTCACTTTTATTTTTAGAATTGCACTATATTGCCTTATTTGGACTGAAAGTATGCTGTATCAATGCACTATTGTATCAAATTGCAGCTGTCTTACCGTTCCGAATTTGACTAAATTATTCAGGTTTTTTCCACAAATACTGTTTATTTGTGAGCGTTCTCAGTACGTGCTAAGTCCAGGTAACACTTGCATTCTGCAGGCAGCATTTCTTGTGAGAAGTCAACAAGTACGTTGCTTTGGAAGTGGGTTTTGTGCTATTTCCTTAAGGTCTCGGTAACAGGTGTAATTCTTCTTGCTGAAACCTTCTCACAGTGGGTTGGTCGAAGACAAACGCAGCAAATGCACTCTGTGTAAAAAAAGAGTGTGAATACTGCTTATTAAATACTGCTTATTAAAAGTAATACTGGGAATGCCATCAACCTGCAGAATAGACCTGGTGACATGGTATCCTACTGACATTGAAAATAGCTATTGAAAGACCTTCTCATACGTTTGGATGTGTAGATCTGCGCAAAGTAACTTATCCCCATCGTAGAATTTTACCCTGGTGGCTGCCCATGAAAGTTGCAGAGAGTTTTGGCTTTTTCTTTTTTTGAAAGCTGTCAGCTGGCTTGGTGCTCGCCTGAATGGCTTGTGGGACCTTCCTAAGAAATATTTGCGATGTGAAAATCGATCCCATTGTGGCAAGGGTGAGAGCCAAGTAGAGCTTGGTTGTTGTGGTGGATGTGTCAGGTAACTCACCCCCATGAGCAAACTTCCATATTTTGAATCATTCTGGGGCAGGGAGGCATCTAAAGTTTGGACCTCCCCATTTTTCCTTTTTTGCGTTGTTTTTGAAGTCAACCTAGGTAAAGGCTTCGTGGTTCATGCCCCCGTTGGATTTCTCCAGTAGCCAGGTGCAACAGGAGTTGATCTTTGGGTGGCAAGCCACTTCCAGCAGGCCACATCCTCTGCTTCTCTGCAGATTTCTTATTTCAGGTTTTTTTCCATCACAGACCTTGTCCCTTCAGTAATTCTTTGCTGCTGCTTCTTCATCCTCTTGGGTTTATGTAGGGCATTAGGAGGAATAAACCTGAGCTGCTGAAAACTGCAAGTATGTCAGCCCCATGAAGAGGTGCTAGGAACTCCAGCTCTTCCATGTGTTTAATTGTGGCTTAAGCTACAGAAAAAGCTTTTGAAGTAACACAGTCTCAGTCTGAAGACATTGATTGAGGTTGTAACTGCGTGATATGGTCTGCAGATCCTGGGATGGTCCCTGGAAGGTCATGAAAATACGAGGAAAATATCACAGTTTGGGGGGTGGGAACCAATATGCTTTTATATACGGGCTAATACAATAGATGAGCTTTTATCTGCTGGACTGTGTCCTGGTTTCCATAATTACTCACGTAGTTTCTTTTTAAATCAACTAGAGAGGAAGGTTTCGGTATATAGCTCCCCTAATATTTTAAAGTGTGTAAAAGTGGGGGAGGAAGGGTATGTTCTTAGTCTGAGCATCTACATTTTCCTGCTTTCCTTTGGAGCAGTGAACTGTTGTGAGAATTTTAATCTTCACTACACTTGCCTCAGTTCTCATGGCTGTTTTCCATTCTGTTTTCTTTATTACTTTCTTTTTCTTCCTGTCATTCTTAGCTTTCTATTTTTCAGTCCCAGTTTGTGAAGGGTGTGGGTTCAGAAGGGTTTCCTTCAGTTCCCAGTCCTCTGAAAGCATGAGAAATTGCCCATTGAGCCAATTCTCACAGCAAGGTATAAAAATAGGAGTAAAGAAAAGGTTACACAATGCTTGGATTGCAGCAGTTTGTACTAATGGGGAGATTTCAAAGCCATGGTTTGAAAAACATTTTTTAAACCTTATCATTTCCGTTAATTTTTCTCTCCCCAAGCTGTGTTTCAGCTGCAGGAACTAGCGTTACAGATTACTTGAAGAATTGTACTGAAACACAGGAGTCAAGTGCTGAACAAGTCACGCAAAGCCAGAGAGAGACCACTAATTAGTTCTGTTTAGCCATAATGAGTGGTTTGTTTGAGAAGCCTATCCTAAGAGTTTCCAGCCAGATGCTCTGGTCTCTGCTATTAAATCAGTGGATTAAAAGGCGAGTGGATTTAAGATTATTTTGCCATTGCAGCAGGACACAGATTAACGCTCGGGAAACCCGCTTGTTTGGGACCACAGGTTGCTGTTAGCAGGGAGCAGCACCCGTGCTCCCGCAGAGCAGAGGAACTCGCTGTAATTCAGTCTTGCAGACTTGGAGGAAACCGAAAGTTATCACTAAGACTGTATTCACGGGCTTCAAAGTTTTCAGAATTGTTTCTGAGCGTTGCCTTTCTCTACTTGCAGAACTAGCTGAAGCTAACTGTTGCCAGCTGTTACCGTAATTTGTTGACTTAAAAGGCTGGTATTTATATGAAATTTATTTAGCATTGGGTTTTGTTTGTTTCTGATTTCCTTATAATGAGACAGACCTCTTTGGCATGTTAATTATTATCAAATTGAAATGCTGAGCAGTACTTTTGTGATAAATTCCAAAACAATCCAGTAACTTGATTCTAATAGCAGTGCAATGCTTTCCTAATGAAATGTCTGTATTAAGCCACAGACAGGAGCATTAACCTTGGATTAAAATCAGAAGAGAAAATCAAGCACACTGTGGTAATTTTGTTCTTGTTGTTTGCAAAATCATTTTATGAAGAAAAAGATCAACTAAAAGCTGTATTTAATGATCTTCACACTGGTTACATCCTGTACTTTTTTACTATCTATTTGACTTCTAACCTTTTTTTCTGTTTGTCTAACAGAAACATGGGTTATTTGGATATAGTAGAACTTTTTTAAAAACAAACCAACCAACCAACCTCTTCTGTTTTGCTTCCACAGAGCAATTGTATGTTTGCAGTGTTAGCCGGGGCAGTGTTACTGGTAATCCCACAGGTGAAGACAACTGGCTTTTTTGTGTGGTCAGTCATTGCCAGGGAAGCCACCTAACAGGGAACCCTCGACCCTTTTCCTAGCAATGGTTGGTTAATGATTATTGTGGCGTCTTTTCAGGTGATTCCCACTAACAAGGAGCTCTTGCTCTCATTAGCTGCCCAGGAAAGTCATCTTTTCAATAGTAGGAAGAAGGACCCATCGTAGGCGAAAACAAATAACTACAGACAAACAGAGGGCTTTTGTTTCTGTTTTATTTTGGCAATCTCTGCAATAGCAATGGTTATAGTAATCAGCTACGTAACAGCTGGGTCGTGACTGACTCAAAAGGTACAAGACGTTATGGTGAAACACATCCATAGAAAATTTGAAATCTGATTAATCCAAAATCATGAAATATGGCATGAAGTTGTAGAAATAGTTCTGAAATTGTAGAGGTCAATTCAGTTTTTTTTTTTTTAATTCAGTATGGTGAGCACAATTTCGGGTTCAAAAGACACACTAAAATGCCTATTGCATGCTGGTTAAATGAAGTGTTTTAAAGACAGCTTGAGCGAGTGATCTCTGTTGTATGCTAATCCTAGAATAACTTCGGTTGGAAGGGATTTGCGGAGGCCATCTAGGATCCAGGACCCTCTGCTCAGGTCTTACCAGATCAGGTTGCTCACAGCCCTGTTGAGTTGAGTCTTGAACACCTGATGATGGGGACTTGACAGACTCTTTCAGCAACCTTTTCCATCCACATGGAAGAAGCTGATTAATCTTCTGATTTGCCCAAGTGTTCCTTGGAAAGTGAAAGTTTCGGGAACTGCGTCAAATCCGTTGACAGCTGTTTTCTGTGAACCCAGTTAGTAATTTTTTCATTTGGGTCACTGGTGTGTGGTTTTAAAATATATATTTTTTTGTTGTTGTTTTCTGTATTAAAGGAGGACGTATGATGTGTATGAGCTGTTTCCATTGGCTTCCTAAATAAGCAAATTACTTCATTTACTAATGAGGAGGGGTAGTTTTTTCTATTTTCAAAGGATACTTCTCCTTGCAGTGCTATGAGCTCTGTCTTAAGTGACTACGCTAGAATTCATTTCAAACTGAACTGAGTGAGATGGGTCGTTCTGATCTCAGTCACATGTCTGATACGGACAGAGACCCAGGAAGGTCTTAGTGAGGGAATGGCACCTGCTTATTTTCCCCATTCAGGACGTGAATCTGTTGTAGAGGCAAATTACGTTAAGCTGGACATTGCTCGTAAATGCTTATGGTTTCTTGTGATGTGCCTGACACAAACCTCTTCCTTCCATATTCTGGAAACTTCTTTTCTGGAGAATTCTCCAAGGTAGGACTAGGATTCCTTCTAAGCCACCCTCAGCAATACTAACAATTCCTAGCGGGGTGGGCCATTTGAGGCCAGTATTGCCAACTAATTTAATGGAGATAGTTTTAAATCACTCAGTTAAAAGTTGGGAGGAGAAGATCTTGAGATTCCCTTTCAGTGTTTACTTTATTTAATTATTATGCTTTGTCAAATTCCTTTCGTCTCTACCGGGAGTTTTCACTGCCTTTTGTGTAGGACTCGTCCTTAGTTCAGACTTCCTTGGCGATTCTTCCAATTGGCTGTTGCGCTCCATGGCTCACGTTTACTGGTTTTCTTAACCGTATGCTGTTTGTTATTGTTCAGCTTTCCAAACGGCTAAGGCATCTGAAACTGATTGCATCAGAGCAATGTAGAGAGCAAAGTTCCACCTTCCTCACGCTGAAATGCCGAGCCC